TACCACACGTCGTCAAACACACCACCGTAACATTAGTGACTCTTCATCCGATCACTTCGTCATGTCTCAGTCAGACAACATTACTGAACGCCTCAAGGTCCTTAGTCGTAATCATAATGATGTTCAGAAGTTTGTGTCAGACGTTGAGAAACTCAAAGACGACGGTTCTAATATTGCGAGATGGAAACTTTGTACCGAACGTGCCATTTTCGACATGACTGATGTAGCCGATTACTGGTCTTCGAACTCCGTAGATCCCAATAACCCGGTAGAAGTACAAATTGATCGTTGTGCAGGGAGAGTGATCAATGCGACAATCAGTGAGGACCTCAAGGATGTTATAACGCACCATACTCAATCTCATATGGCCCTTCATACGATAGAGGAGATGTTTCAGCAAGGAGGTCGCACCGCTCAATACGTTATCTTCCGATCTATGGTTCTCCGCAAATTCGATCCTAGTACAACTGACCTAATCACTTTCATCACCCAACTCAATAAGGACTGGGAACGTCTCAGATCGGCTGGTTTTAAGTGGGAGGAGGACGCAATTAAAGCTATGATTGTACAATTATGTTCTCCGGTATCTGGTGAATACGGCATGGACATCCTGAACACTACTTTAGATGCACGATACCGTACCGATAAATCTCAATTTTCATTGTCAGAAGTTAGAGCAAATTATCAGAATCTAATCACGACTAGGAAGACGGTACAAGAAAATGATCAAATTCAGACATTAGCTGCATCGTTTAGTAATACCATGACTCCGTCTAAGTGGAGTAACTCGCCGAATCAAGCGTCTAGGACATCAATGTCTCCTGCAACGAGTCGATTACGATCGAACCAAAGCTCGGGTATTCAGTCAACGGGACCTACACCACCCGGACCGGTTTTTAAGACCAGGGCTCAACGTGATAACTCAGAAGCGTACCCATTGAATCCTCCGAAATCTGCCCCGTCCGAAGTTCATCAGGGTATTTGGCAATGTTTTCACTGCTCTGATTCTGGTCATGGTTCGGAAAGTTGTCCGATTAAGAAGAAGGGGCGAAGTAGAACGGCACCTCACTTCAACGACTGGATTAAATGTACCAACAACAGATGGTATGCATACAAAACACTTTATCCGGCAAATCAAGTTCAAGCACGACTTACTCAGTTAGAAGGAGAAGAGCAAACTATTTCATCACCTTGTCACATGTCTCAAGTTTCGGCATCAACTGTTGCATGGAGCGCCGAGAGTAACTCGGTCGATGCGACGCCAACCGAATATCTCTTGGATAGTGGAGCGACGCACCATGTGAGCAGTGCTTTGCCATTTTTTCTTAACTATCAATCGCTCTCATCTCCAATAAAGATGAATACGGCTGCTCATGGCAATAATGCTATGATTGTAGGAAAAGGGTGTTTGAAGGTGAAGGCGGAGGATGGAAGTGATTTTATAATCGAAGATGTGTATTATTGTCCTCAAGCAACATCAACCTTAATCTCTCAGGCCGCGTTGGTGGAAGCTGGTGCTAAGATTTGGTTCTGGGGGAAGGATGTGGTGATGAGGATGCCCGGTGGGAAATCTTTGACAGCTTCTTATTGTAATAGAAGATGGATCTTGAACGCAATGAAAACACACGTTTTGTCTCATGAAACACCTGAGGTAGTTGGAAAAGTGAGAGCGTTGAGTAGTGCAAAGGATGTTGATTTGGCTTATCTATGGCATAGAAGATTCGGACACGTTGAGATGAAGAGAATAAGGAAGCTATGTGCCGGTCAACTGGGGTTGGGTCTGCCAACGTCTATACCCAGTAGTGACTTTGTTTGTGAAGACTGTCTACAATGCAAGAGTGCACGTCATCGAAACTCGGCCGAACGGGACGAGAGTACGGTATGCTGGATGTCATCGTATCGGATGTCATGGGACCTTTTCCAGAGGATGTCAATGGAAATAGATTCACCGTTACTTTTAGGGATGTTGCAACAACCTTTTCTGAAATCATCATAATCAAAGCAAAATCAGAAGTACCCGATGTATTCATGAAAGTCATCAATAAATGGGAACGGGAGACTAATTTTAAAGTCAAACATGTACGAACTGACGGTGGTGGCGAGTATATCAAGACCACGTTCAGCAATTGGTTGAAATCGAAAGGTATTGTGCATGAGCATTCGAACCCGTATGAACCAGAACAAAACGGAGTAGCTGAAAGACTGAATCGAACCATTAGCGAAATGGGGAGGACGATGCTGGCGGCTTTGAACCTACCTCAGACGTTCTGGTCTTTTGCATATGTAGCGGCTTGTTACTTGCACAACAGACTGCCTAATACGCTGACGGGTGATCATACACCTTATGAATTATTTTATAAGCATAAACCTCAGCTTGACGTTATTCGCACTTTTGGGGCTACTGCCTTTGTTCATCGGCACGACGCACAACGCAATGGGAAGCTGGATGAGAGGGGTTGTCGTTGCATGATGATAGGGTATTTGGAAGGGGGAAAAGGTTGGGTGTTTTATGATCCTGGTTCAAAGGTGTTGATAAAGAGTGGTATTGCGGTATTTCCTTATGAGGATAAATTTATCTATTCAAAGACTCAAGAGAATCCTGAAGAACAAACGACTTCTAAATCATTAAATAAAATCTTAGACAATCCGAAGAAGAAGAGCAGTTTAGAGTTCATAATGAATGCATTGCAATTAGGAGACTTTACCGGAGAAAATCAGGTGTTGGAAGAAGATAAATATGTAGAACTATTGAGTGCGAACATTGACTTGTCAGCAGGTTTGAAAGAACCAAAATCTTACACTGCAGCAATGAAAGACGAGTATTCAGAAGAATGGAAGAAAGCGGTTGAAAAGGAGTTGAGTGCAATGGAAGAGATGGGAGTGTGGAAAGTGATTGATAAGCCAGAGGGTGTGAATGTGCTGGGTTTGAAGTGGGTATTCACACACAAACAACTAGATGCTAACGGAAATCCTATAAAGTTCAAAGCTCGACTTGTAGCGCAAGGTTTTTCCCAACGTGAAGGGATCGACTACAATGAGACCTTCGCACCGACTGCTTGTATGTCATCGTTACGATTTCTTTTCACCTTGGCGGCACTGATGGGCTGGGAGGTACACTCTTTCGATGTGACGGCTGCTTACTTGCATAGTGATATAACTAAGAAGGTCTACTTTAACTTACCGCCGGGATGTATGGACGATGCTAGAAAAGCAAACAAAATTCTAGAGGCGGTGAAGGCACTATATGGAACTAAGCAAGGAGCGCGTTGCTGGTGGAAACATTTTGAAAATATTTTGAGGAAGTTGGGATTTAGGGCGTGTCAGTTTGATCAATCTTTGTATGTCTGTCGAAGGGGTGATGAGGTGTGTATAGTATGGGTGCATGTTGATGATGGTGCTGTGACGGGAAGTAGTCTGGAGCTGTTAAGAGAATTAGGAAGGGAATTGGAGAAGGATTTAAAAATTAGATGGTCAGAGAAGCTGGAGTGTATAATTGGTATTGATGTGGATAGATTAGCGGATGGATCCTTTGAATTGTCTCAACCCAGGTTTAACAACAAAGATAGTTCGTGACTTTTTGGAGGTTGAAGGAAAATCGACAACGCCTCTTAATGCTTCGAACTTACCAACTTCGCCGAAGGACGACGAAGATGAAGTCGACAAGACACGATACTTATCGGTGATAGGATGTCTCAATTACCTTGCTGTCGCAACGAGACCAGATTTGACTTATGCTACCAACTTTTTGGCGAGATTTTCGGCGAGGCCAACTAAGCAGCACTGGGAGGCAGTTCAAGGTGTACTGAAGTATTTGAAAGGGAGTGGGTGTGTGAAGTTGAAGTTGAAGCCTATAAAAGGGGAAGTGAAGATAGGTTTGCATACGTACGTGGATGCTAATTGGGGTGGAGAGTACGCTAGGTCTGTACATGGTTTTGTGACTTTTTTCATGGGGTGCCCGTTGGCCTGGACGTCGAAGAGGCAGGGTTGTGTAGCGACTTCAACGTGTCACGCCGAATACATGGCGCTTGGGACGGCTGCAAGAGACGCGGTTTGGTTACGGAATTTAGTGGGTGATGTGTTAGGGGCGATGGGACCAGTTTCAATGCACTGCGATAATACTTCGGCAATTCACGTCTCAAAGGATAATTCATCGAACAAAAGAACTCGACATACTGAACGTGAATTTTATTACATTAATGAACAACTCTTTAAAGGGACAATTACCCTACACTGGGTTGAATCCAAGAATCAAAAGGCCAATATTCTCACAAAGGCACTGGGCCCATATCTGTTTGCAGCGGGGAAGAAGAATTTGTGTTTGGAGTGATGATATTTTCAATTTTATGTTTTGTTTTTTTGTTAATTCTGTGTGGTGTTCTCTATTTTGTTTTCTTGTTTTTTTTCTCTTTTATTTGTTAGCGAAGGAGGTGTGCTGTGGCTGGTCGTGGGGGGGGTGTTATGTGTACACGACTGCACCACAGCAGGTCACGTGATTGTACAGGTGTTGTAGTCATATCTTGTTCTACCCGGGCGGAAGCTTCCTCTCCTCAACCACTGTGGAAGCTGAAGTCCGGGAGTACGAACTAACGTAGTTGTCGTCCTATCGATTATAGGTAATGAATACGAACCACTGTGGAAGCTGAAGTCCGGGAGTACGAACTAACGTAGTTGTCGTCCTATCGATTATAAGAAGTACTCAAAAGAATCAAATGCCTGGATTGATTCACACGGCGGATGCGTTAAAAACGTTCTTCATGCGGTGCTGTCATCGATGCTGAAGATAGGAAGAAAATGTGACATATATGGAGAACACATCAGAACACGGACGGATCTGACAACTTTCCTCGCGCAAAAAGGTTCACTCAGACGGAACCTTCTTAGGTCTTCCTTTGCTAGAACACAGCCACGACCCTCGCAGTATGTACACGCCGCGCTGCTTTACAAAAAGGCGACACCTCGCTTTAACCCTTGTTGCCCCCCACCTCTCTGACACCCAGCACCGTCTTTTTAATTATTCATCTCATCCTTTTTACGCCGCTTTCAGTCATACAACATGATATCTTTCTCATTGCTCGTATCTGCACTCCTTGTCTGCCAATGCTCCGCAGGATCCCTTGAACCCCGCGCAGACACTACCGCCCTTGCCATGAACGCCCGCACCTTCCGAGGCTGGACGAGCTGGAGTTTGCAAGCATTCAAGGGACCGGTGAGTGGCTATCGATAACTGCGATTCCAGGTTGCCATCATCAGCTGACCTCTTGCTGCGTGGACGCAACGCATCATCATAATTGTGTATTAGGGCTATGGCGCTGATTGGTTCAAAGAAGAGAACATCAAACGTCAGGCCGATGTCCTCGGGAATGAGTTCAAGCAGGCCGGGTAAGGCATTCTGCTACAATAAAATGATTTCAAACTTGGATTAATACTCACCCGACTGTGTGATCCACTCTACGCTTCCAGATTTGGCTATTTTAACCTCGATTCGGGATGGCAAGTAAGTCCTTATCTTTTCTCCTCAGGGATGCGAATGTTTAATTGACCAGGATTACGATTCATAGGACGAAAAGCTGGACGAATTTGGGCGTGTCCAACTCAGCACCGTGCGTTTCCCCTCAGGAATCCAAAGTCTTCAAGGCTATCTTGAGACGCGTGGATTATCCCTTGGTTTATACTACCTTCCGGGTATCGATAGCCGTGCCGTAGATAACAAGGTCGGTGCAGATTGTCGGGTATGGAATGCAGCGGCTCAATCCTCACCTAGATGCTTTTGTTACGTTTTAGACTCCCGTCAAGGGCACCAAGTACACGGCTGATCAGATTGTACTATGCCCAACCACAAGCAACTCGACCAATTGCAAGCGACCTCCTGCTAACGCATTCAGCGCTGGTCAATCCCTAGATTTTTCTCACCCCGGAGCTCAGGCCTACATTGATAGCATCGTCGACCAGCTCTACAGCTGGAAAGTGACATTTGTCAAATATGCCGGTTATATCCCTGGCTCTTCCGTTGATCCCAACAACGCGGATTTCAGTAGCGCTACCTCCGCTGCCGACCTTGCTGCATGGCGCTCGGCCATTGACCGTCTCCATCAAACCAAGTACTCGAACCAACCCAAGATCTGGATCAGCGCTGCCTGGGAAATCGCCAAAAGTCAAAAGGACATTTTGAAGGTCAATGCAGACAGTCATCGGGTGGCAATCGACATCGCTGCTTACAGCACTGTTATGACTACTTTCGATCGTGTCATTCGGAACGCTCGTGTCGCAGCATCGTGGTCATCTGTGGATGCCAACCGAGGTGGAACTGTGTTGGATCTCGATGCCATTTTACTTGCCGATTTATCCGCTGCCGAGGCTAAGACCATGGTCACTCTCTGGGCCTTGCTTGTACGTACTGAGACCAGTACTATCCTTCACTTTCCATCAGGTAACATGACACTAACTGATGGTGGTGCATCTCTTTAGGGTTCGCCTATTTACTCCGGTGACGATCTCACCAAGCTCTCACAGGAAAAGAAAGCTCTACTCACCAACCCCTCGGTGTTGGACGTAGCCAAGAGACTAACTCACAATCCAGCTCGAGTATTGAATTACGCTGAAGAAACTACCTCAAGCGCACAAAGCCGATTAGCCCGACGTGATGGTAATACTGAATCGACAGCAGCCTGTGATGCACGAGTTTTACAAGAATGTCATCAGATGGTCTGCAAGTCACTTATGATCGATCCATCAAAGGTTCAATCACTTTACCAAGCAAGTAAACTCAAATACGCCAGCTCTGCCAAGGTCACTCCTATGATGACTTCTGGTGGTGCGGCAGCTGCTGACCCGTGGGAACGACAAGTCTGGTATGCGGAACTCACCCAGTCCAAAAACCCATCAGCAATCTACATTGGTTTCGTCAACGCCGGCCAACAACTTCCCACTGATGGTTCGTTCTCCCACAGATAGTGAAAAGGAATGAAATTTTTCACTGGCCAGCTTTTATCTGATGCATTTCAATTTTGTCTTCATCCTTAGGACCAGCTGAGATTACAGTCGATTTGAAGCAACTCACTCTCACCAGGCCGATGGCCAAATCTTACACTATCTCTGATTTATGGACCGGTAAGGATGTTGGAACTTGTTCCGGCGGACAGATGACTGTCTCCTCTGGAACTCTCGCTGCTCATGCCAGTGTTCTATACATCCTCAAGCCAAACTGAGTTATATATCAATGAACATCGACTTGATTATTGTTCATCTATGATAACATTTTCAATTATCACGACCAAGAGGGGGATTCAGAAACTTTTTCTATTTCACTCTCATGATATTCTCTCCTTATGTTTCTTGATCACTTTTGTGTGCCCAAGATCACCTTGTGATTTGCATGTTATCCCTATACCTCTTGTAAAAAACCAGAAGACAATGTTGTTGATGATCATCGAACGGAATATATTTCTTGTTTGGGAGCAGTTACCGAGTGCAGCGGTATGTGCCTTCCTGTGACTTTGTGAGAGTAGCTTTCAGACACGGGTATATCAACTTCTACGGTCTGGCTCCTTACTAATGAAAACGACCTGAGGGGATCTCTACATGAGAAGTCGCGCGACAATTACAATCGAAAGCTTATGCTCATCTTTTTCAGTCAAATCAGGATTCCATGAGCGGCGGCGAGAGTCTTGTTAGTCCCAATCTGATCACTGACAGAGGCTGAGCCCTCCGCCTTCTCGCCAACAGACTTAAGACTGTGCCAATAGGATGTTAATAACAAAAATAAGTGCTCAATTTCAAAATTGCAGTACGTGACCATATATCCATTGTTGATGTTTGTGTACTTGCGCCGAATATACCCTAAATCCCCAGTCGATAACATTCTCATTCTGAATTCACTTGCTGCTGGTCTTGTATGTAGGTTGCCTCATTTTAGGTTTTGCCAGATATAATGGATTTTTCGAAATCACCTAAAGCTTTAAGAGCAAGATTTTGACGTGATTGTGATTTAGATCTTTCAGAAAAGTATTTCAAGAATTCAAAAAGAACAGGTTCATTCTGATTAAATTCCTTCTCTCCTTGATCCAACAGAAAACTTTCCATGATCAAACTTGTCTCCTTGATGTCTTCCTTCACTAACTCATCTATGACAAGCTGTAGGGAATGGGTCTCACCGAGACTCTTCATCTTCAGGAACACATTTATATCTTGTGGGACAAAGTACAGCTTTGATCAGGTTCAGGTACTACTGGATTATCCAAAAGACTATGTACTCACAAGTTGCCCAGAAGGATAATATCTTGGTACCATCCTCTGTGTTTGACCATGGGTCAATCTCTAAGCCATACGGCTTGAATTGGTTTACCAACGAGATGAAGAGATAAGAGGTCCTTCAGGTTAAATAAATGTAAATAAAAGATTTCAATAAACTTGCATGATTTCAATCAACTTCACAACTCACTCTGAATACTCTGGACATTTCATGTAGTCCATCAAGACTCTTGAATGATTTTTTAAACATGATTCAGCCATTCCCTTTGGACCGTCATGATAAGAACCAGCTGAACTTGAAAGTGTTTGTACATCTTCAATCAAGCTTGTCTGTATAACTTGAGTTTCAATCATTTCCTGTAGAAGTGGTTTATCTTTGATTTTAGAGTAAAGCTGGAATTCTAGGTTGGATTTTGTACATCTCAATGTCCATGATAAATATCTCATACAATGTAATGTGTATGGAACTGGGCTTACTTGATGTCCATAGAATGAACAGTTTCTTTTGATCTTCTTCTAACCAATCTTCAGTGAGCTGAAGCCCATAATCTTCAAATGTACTTTTCATACTTTCAAATTCTACATAATCTCTAAAGTTTGAATATTGTAAGATTCCATCAAATCAGAAACAGAGCAACCGGAGATGCATCAGACAAACAAATCTTGTACTCACTTTCTTGGATCCATTGATCTTATTTGTGAAATCAACTTGTCTTCATATAATCCTAATGTATTCTTGAAGATAACTGGCCAGGAGAAAGGGAAATTTTTACTTGAAGGGCTTCCTCCTGAACACTCAAATCTCTGTAATTGAAACCAGACTACTTGTACTGCTTTCAATGGCACTTGACAATATCTTATAAGTTTATTTAGGATATGAAGAAGTTTTAATTTCTCAGGAATATCTTCCATTCCTCCCCTTTTATTGACTTTAACTTCTTTGAATAAATTAAGAACCTTCTCTGCCCAATGAAAGCTTTCTGAGGTCAGTAAGTGGTTCAAATTTGGAAGAATCATTCCTCCCTTCTTATGGACTTTAACTTCTTTGAACAAATCAAGAACCTTCTCTGCCCAATGAGATTTTTCTGAGGTCAGTAAGTTGTTCAAGTTCTGAAGCATCACTGATGATGAGCCCTTCAATGGCATATAATCATCATCTAGAAATATCATTTGAAGCATTTGAGTGTCTCAGTTTCCCAAATGAAAAAAAATCCTCAGGGTAATCAAATATTGTTACTGACCTTGGTTCCAGAAATTGTGAAATTCATCAAGATCTGATTCTTGTACTTTGTTTTGAAACTGTACCTCCTTTTTTCCAAAATCATCATTTGACTTCACACCAGAAATTTCGATTCCTTGGTTGTGAACCAATTCCGCACTTTCACTTGAAGATCTTCCAATATCCAAAAGATAGTCCTCCTTTATCTCTAGATCCATACTCTGAACCCCATTTTGATATAATTCCAATTGTAAAATTGACAATACCAAAGTATATAGTAAAAAGTTTTGCTTCATGATCCTATAGGAAATCATGATAAACCAAAACCTAATGAAAAAAGATAACACAAAATCCTTTCCTGCTGATATCAAAATGGAAAATGTATCAGAAAGAAGAAGATTGCCCCATTAGTCATCTTTTGTTTCATTGTCCCCACACATACCATACTACCCTTGACACAAGATAACATATGTACATAAACTAGTTTTGGACAGTTTCTAAGTGTTTCAGATCTCAAATATGTTGAAAATTTAATTATCAATGGACATTGCAAAGATAAATGACCCAATTCAGAAATGATTTTCAATTGATCTTGTAGCTGAAGTCTTGCTGAAGAGGTATTCACACTAGGAGGTTGAGTATCCTTTCATCTGTGATGTTATCAATTGTTGTTGAGGAATATTTTTAGTGTAGTTTCCATTCATTCAAATAATCAACATCACATGGGTATGTGTTGTTGACTTCTCAAGTTCACTTATCCCTGGATGGCTGGGTTAATCTGATGAGAAAAGAAAGATCCCAATTCAAGTATAGGGAACAAATCAAATGCTTGAGCACATTTCTTCTTCTTCTTGGGAAAAAGAACAAATAAGTCAATAAATGACCTTGACTGAAAAGTTTGGAGTCCAAGATAGGGCTACTTTCACTCCTAATATACCCGTAGAGAGTGAGACACACTGTAAAATTGTGAAGATGTTTGAAGGAAGATGGTAGGAGTGTTGAAAGAGGTTCTATGTTCTGTATAATGTAGTTTTGATAAAGCCAGTTGTGAAGCAGTTGATAACTCAATTTTGAGCTTCTTGACCGTTTTCATCCAATTTGATTCTCAACTTTCTCATTTTACCTCAGGCTCAGCTGATTACCATCACCATCATCCTTATCATGCTACCCTCATCTGAATCAAAGTATCATCATTCTGGTCGCAAACCATCTTTAACAATCAAATCACCTACCTGCTCAACCAATACGAAAAATGTTGGACCACCATCTTCATCATCAACTGTGATTCCGATTCCCAACAATCTGAGTAACTCAAACTCAACTATCATTAGTCCTCAAATCGATCTTACTACGCCTTATTCGGATTCCTCACCACCAAGGACTCTACATCGTTTGACAGATCAAGACACTCAACGTGAACAAGATGTACAAGCTGCTTTACAATTCTCTCGAGCTAGATCCGGTACATACGAATCCAATTTACGTAATCATCATCATTCTCATTCACAATCACAATCACATCAATCCAATGCTACTGACAATGATTTCATGAGAAATACAATCGATACAACTGATTCAACATTTTTTCAATCTCCAAATTCGCTTCAACCTACACCTACAAGACAACCGCAACCCAGATCACAAAGAAAATCACATGATGAAGGCTTTGGTAGATCAAATTCACCAACTTATTCTGTAGATTCTAGTCATGGTGCATTTATTGATCATAGACCTTCGATCATCGCTCCGAATGAACCTCACAGTCCTTCTTATTTTAGATCTTCAATTTCTCAATCCAATAGATTACATCCTTCAACTCTTTCACCAAGTTCGATCAATGGAAATCTACGTGGTCATGATCCAAGACCACCAAATCCGCATCTCACACCCATCATGAAGGAAAACAATAGTTTGATTGATCATCGTGACGTTTGGTTGGGCGGAGGAGGTGGTGGAGGTGGTGAAGGAGGTGTAGCTCGATCTAGAGATAATTCATTGAAAGTAGAAGATGCAAGAGGATTAGCAGGAATGTTACCACATTTCCCTTATCCATTTGATTTTGCTGCACTTGAAACATTCGCGGTCCAAGAACGTAAGAAAGGAACTGGAAATCTCACAGATGACGCGATTCTGGATGAGCCACCACCCAAGAGTCCATTAGGAGAAACAGACGAAGAAACAGACAGTGGTGGTGGTGGTGGTGGTGGTGGAGCGATGCGAAGACGAAAGATCGGATTTGTGAACGCTCATAACGAACCAAGTCAACCTGCACCACTTCGAAACACTGCTGTAGGATTACTCAAGAACAGACGATTAAGTGAGAGTACAGGTCCTTTAGCAGGCCGACAACGTAAATTAGCCATTTTTGAAGGAAACAACAACAACAATAATAATAATGAACAAGGACCAATAAAATCAATCACCGATTCATCTAAAGCACCATTATTATTTTCACCTAACCATCCACCAATCTCAAATGATCAGTCAAATAATAACAAACGAGTCACTGAAAGTAGTTCCGAAAGTCAAGAAAGACCATATCGATTTTCATTTTATTCTAATGCATTACCATCCACAATTCATGCAAGAAGTTTAGGAGAGATACCAGCCGAAGGTGAAACGTTTGAAGATTTGTTTGTTGGTCGTAGTAGTTCTAGTTTCAAAAAATCAATGGATGAACCTAGTTCTGAACAATCTTCAATCCATTTACAATCCGGTAATGGAGGGAATGGACATGGGAATGGGAAACCTAGGAGTGCGGTTCTGATGAGAACTGATGAAGATGCTGAAGCTAATACTTGGTGGTTAGATGTTCTTAGTCCTACAGATGATGAGATGAAATTACTTAGTAAAGTAAATCTAATCTTCTTTCACAAACACAAATCCGATCAATATCTATTAATGATTCCATGAAAGTATACTGATTAAGTTTTTGATATTGATAGGTTTTCGGAATTCATCCCCTTACAACTGAAGATATTCAAATGGAAGAGACTAGAGAAAAGATTGAACTTTTTAGGAATTATTACTTAGTTTGTTTTAGATCATTTGATCAAGATCCTTATAGTCCTACTTATTTAGAACCACTTAACATGTACATCATTGTTTTCCGTGAAGGAACCCTTTCAGTTGAGTCTTTGCCTCTCTTACTTTTCTATTTCTCTGCAAACTGACAGGTTTTTGTTTTGTTTGATAGTTTCATTTTAGAGGTACACCTCATCCACAAAACGTCAGAAGACGTATTAAACAATTAAAAGATTATATAAATGTTACATCTGATTGGATTTCATATGCATTGATTGATGATATTACTGATGCATTTGGTCCTTTGATTCAATCGATTGAGTATGAAGTAGATAGTATAGATGAATTGGTGTTAATTTTGAAAGATGCAGAACAAAGTGATATGTTAAGAAGGTTTGTATTTCTTCTTGATGTTCTTTGTTTCAAAGGGGTTCAAAGTTGATTTTGTTTTATTATTATTGATAGGATTGGTACTTGTAGAAAGAAAGTGATGGGGTTATTAAGATTAATGGGAAACAAAGCAGATGTTGTAAAAGGTTTAGCTAAAAGATGTAACGAGAATTGGTCGGTGGCACCTAAATCAGATATAGGTTTATATTTATCTGATATTCAAGACCATTTAGTTACTATGACTCAAAAGTAAAGTTTTTTCTCTATATGGAATAAACCATTGGGCTATGAAACTGACTCTCTTGCTGTCTATTGCGGGGGTTTAGTTTGAATCATTATGAGAAAATCCTTTCTAGGTCTCATTCAAATTATTTGGCACAAATTTCAATTGAAATGACAGGTTAGATTTAGTTTTTCTTATTCCTGATATTTCAACCAAAACAGTTTTCTTGATCAATAAGACTAATTCATTTTGCTCTTCATTTTTCTCATTAGATGCTAATAATCAAATTAATGATGTTTTGAGTAAATTGACTGCACTTGGATCAATTTTAATTCCGATGAATTTGATCACTGGTCTCTGGGGTATGAATGTAAGTGTCAATCAACACTTTTTTCATCTTTGTATTAAGAAATTGAAGGCTTGGCTTTTTTGTGTAGGTACATGTACCAGGACAAGATGTTGCAGAAGGTTATGCTTGGTTCTTATCTATTGTTTGTGGTTTGGTTTCGTTTGGTGTGGTTGGGGCTTGGTTAACATTAAGGTATTTTAAGTTTTCTAAAGGTTAAGTAGAAAAAGACAAAGAAACGCATTTTCAAGTGGTTTTGATATGAAACAAGAATTTGAGGAATTCAAGATAAGAAAAACAATTTATTCTCCTCTATTAGGTTTTTTATGATACATTTTGATATATATATATATATATATATATATATTTGGTTTAATTTTGATTCAATTGAATTTTGAAAATCTGTTGTAGTTTTTTTTTGTATAAATTGATTGGAATAGTTTTGAAAATTAATTTTTATGATTTATCCAAAAGAAAGTTGGGTTTTATTAATTTATTTTTTTCTAGTTCTAATCTATATATTGAATTTAGATTACAAAAAAATTAATGTTAGTTTACACTTTATTTTTCATTTCTTCATATATCTTTTCTCCTTTGTATAGAGGTTTTTTTTGTTTCTTTATTAAGACTTAGATTAACTTTGTATTAGTTTCAACTCTTTTAGGATTTATAGTACAATACTCAATCATCTTTTTCTTAAGCAAAAAGAAACAATACATTTGGTTTAATCGGTGTTTTTTTCTGTTCTTGAAGAGGTTGGGTTAATTAAGATATTGGTCATTGGCAGGTTTAGTTTGAAAAAGATCGTGAATAATGGATAGACAACCCAGTAGACAAATTGTATGATCTTTTTTCAATTTTATTCTAGCAGGTCTTCTATTGTTGTGACTAGACTCTACTCGACATGTGAGGTAGAGATGTTGGAGTGAATGTTGTAGGTTGAGGTTGAGGAAACAAGCAGCAAGACATGGGGTTATACATCTGTTCTCGGTTTTGAGCTTGAATAAGCCCCGAGTCCTAACGAAGCGACCGTGCGGCGAGCGCGCCCGTGAGAGGCGTAAGTGAAGCTCACATCGTTTCAGAGATAATTCAGATACCTCGCTTTTGTTCGGTTCAACTTCTACTGGTCATGGACAATTGTCAATTCCTTCGCTCTTTTGCAATCACGATCACCTTGGTAATCTTCAAGCATGCGAGCTGCTGCTATACCGCCGAAGATCTTGTCCGGTACGATTGCGCCTAAGCCTCTGTCGCTCCCGTTGTACTTCGTAACTTTGGCGCTTCCTCCGCCGTCTGCGCAATTCAAAGTCTTCCAGAAGTGTTGCAAAATTTGATCACCGATCTGTTTTGTGTTGGCGTTGATTCTTGGGGGCGGTAGTGGAATCTACGTATAGGAACGTTCCCGCATAGGCTTCTCTTCTATCCAGGCTGCGTGAAATATCAGCATCTGACACCTGCGGATTGAGGATTGAGAAAAGATATTGTACCGTCTGCGGGGTCATGTGTCGCGCTCATCTTAAGATAACTATACCTGCCTTCACTGTCAGAGAGTACACAAAACTAAAATCGGATTTGTATGAAACACTGCTTCCGATGTTACCTGCCTTTCAATACCTGCGAGATCAATTGGATGTGGTTATTTCCCAGTGATCCAGTAAAACGAGTCTTACTATCGATCTCAAGCCAGCGCATGCTACCGGTCTTTCCCAACTTTCAAAACAATCACGGCGCATTTAATAAATAGGGAATAATTCAATTTCTACCGTAGCAAATTATCGCAATAGTGTTAGCTTTGAGAAGCCAGTTCTGCCTCGAAGGAACCCTGTGGCACTCTCGGAACTGAAGCGGCAATCTCGAGAAGATGAAGAATATTTTATATAGTTGTTTCTTCAATATTTGCATCCTCAACGTCTGTGTTGTATTCACACAAGATCCGGTACACAACTGGCGATTAGCTCAAGACTCAGTCAAGCGGAATGTTGTGGATCTTCAAAAACCTATCGGTCATTGGAGCGCTTTGACTTCTCAGAAGGGTCAGATTCTCCGGAAACGAGAGCTCGCTGTCTCTGATGTAGAAAAACTAACCGCCAATGAAGTTACCAAGACTGCTACAACTTCTTCAAAGACGTCGCATGAGGTGAAACCGACGAAAACGCCCACAGTGGGCGAAGACGAGGCACATGACTATCAAGGAGTACAGCCAGCTGAGCTGTCAAATCAAGGTGAACCCCTCAAACCAAGTGAACGAAATAAAATGCTTGAAGCTCCGAAGGATCCGACGTCAAGGAATTTACTTTTGACAAAACTCAAAACCTGGATTCAAAATCCATTGACTAATTGGTTTCACGAAGTTTGGAAGTGGATAAGGCAGTTCTTCAAATCAACTGACCATGAACCACGTGAGAAAAAAAAAATGCTTTGAGTGCCGATATTTGATGTACTAACGTAAATTGGGCTTCATTTTCCAAGGGCCAGAGCCAGAGCCGGAGAAGAAGTTTCAAGCCCCTGTGGTGCCGAAGAAACGAGGTGATTTCGAGTTCACCTTCCCTACGAAAATTCTAGCAAATATTGACATTTGATGCAGTGCGGATATATCACGCTTCGGCGCTGGATGAGAGCCCTTTCAGAAAGACGGATGTGCAAGGTAAGTTCATTGAGCTCTAGGGCCTCGTGATATCTGGCATTTCGGACTAGAAAGGCGAGGAGCTCAACTGAACAAGCTGTCTAATCTTCATTATTCAGAGAACAGTCAACAAAAAAGTCTCGAAATGCTTATCCAAAGATTATCGAGCCTCACATCCCTTGAAGATCCCGAAGGTGTAGCCAAAGCTCAATTGCAACTTCTACAACACGAACGCAACTTGGACAAGATTGATTCTACTGAGATGAAGAGAGCCCTGATCCTCCCCGCCACGAAGCAAATGTCGCTCTTTGATTCGTCCATACCTCTCAGAGAAGCAGAGTGGCAACTTCTAGAACATGTATTCACGTTTTCTAATGACCCTTCCGTACGGGAATCTCTCTATCGCCAATACCAGATGGATGACGAATTTCGACGTGGTGTATGTTTTGCGGCCTCGACCGTTCATCTCCGAGAGCTTCAGCAACTACAATCATTTCCAGTCAACAGTTTGACTCGAGAAATTCTGGAAATCTTCAGAGTCTCAAATTGGGGTGAGAAAGACGTAGGCGAGGTTCGTATAAGTGGAGCTGAAGATTTGTTCCTAGAGTTTATCAAAGAAAAAGGTCTTGATCCTTTAGCAGTAAGATCTTTACTCAAAATACCCGAAATACTAGAAAATGTGTCTCAAAAATCTCTTGGTCGGATGAGAAATATTCTTGGGAGAGACAAGGAATTCATTAGCATCCTTGCAATTGCTTCCAATGAATTATGGCCGGGAACTCTTTCTGAAAGTCTTCCAAATTCTTCTTGGATTTATAGACTCTTACGAGGTGAGTTTTTCGAGGATACTTCATGAGGATATGATCTAATTCTTCGTATGCTTATTTATGTGTCTACTGTAGATCACGAGAGCGCGCGTTCTTTCGACGATATGATCAAGTCCGAGCACGCGGGCGTTTCAATGTGGCCAAACTCGCCTTCTGAAGAACTTAAAGGTGGCCATCGTGACGATTTCTTGAGGAATCAATACTTGAATACTGACTTGTAATATTTATCCATTGAACTAGAACGAAAGGGAGCTACAGAGCGAAAGAAGCTTGTTGAACTGTTCCACCGGCGGATCTCTCCAAGATCCCCATATCTACTGGAACTTCAAATTCTTTCAAACGCCTTCCTGGACTCTCCCGGTGGGAAGAATTGGATGGAAGAACAAAAAGTCAACTCATTGACAGATCATTGTTTATCTTTGATTTTCTCAAACAAATTCGACATATCCACTCGAGCTTGGATCCATTCTGCCTTAGAGCACTTGAAGTCATACGGCTTTCCTGCCGTGATTTCCAAGATAAATACGGCTTTCGATCTTCATAGAGATATCTTGACGGATATCAAATCCTTTTGGTATATGGATTCGTACATTCTACTTTCAGGAAATGATAAAGACTCAGCCAGAGTTCGATGGTTCGCAGGGCTTCTACAAAAGCTAACTACAAGAACCAAATGGACTGATATCCTGGCAGAACACTTAACTTTCAAGAAAACTATGGATTATTTGCTTGAAGAGCTCAAAAATGATTCACTTTCAATTGCGAAAGGCAGAATGCAGCTTTACGAAATGCTGCTTTTTGTTTTGAACCATTTCGAGGTTGCAAGGGACAAGTCATTCATCGATACTGTCAGAGACGATCCTTTCCTTCTCAAATGTCTAGGTGCACTTTCAGTTTTATCAGGAACAGACATTGACCTTGATCTAAAGATCCCGAGGCAAGCAACAGGATTTGGCTTTGGGTTAAACAAAGGTCAGCTTTGTCTTGTGAAGCAGTATAAAGTTTCAAGTATGACTGATTTCGCATCGAATGCAAATTGGACCGTCGAAGACCTTTCAATCGATGAACCATATCTGAAGCTTCTGAAATCGCGGGGCCAGATGTACGAAACGGGAATGATACATAGTAAGTATACAGTAGTCCAAGTAAGCTCCATATAAGACACAATGATCTAATGGCGGCGACATTCCCTAGATGGAGATGATGAGAAGATTCATCGACGAGAACTGATAGAGGTCATTGAGCAACATGAAAGTACAAATGAACTTCCGGCTATCTTTCTAGGAAATTTGGCAAACCGGTTGTCAGAACTAAAACACATTGGAGCTTGGGATAAAAATGACGTCGATCCCAACAACTCACATTCATTAACTGAGGCCATGGTTTACTATTTTGAGAATGTGGCAGTTAGTCAAGGAGACAAGATGCTGCTTTCAAAAATCCTGGAATTCCTTTTTGAGAATAATGCAGGATTACGAAAGGAAGCCTCAAGCTACATAAATCCAGGCCTTCAGCGCGAGCTTGACCTTTACAATTATTTAAACACAGTCGAAAAATATTCCGCTGAAGGAACCAATACACATATCTTGCGTATCAACTCTGAGATTGTGAAATTATCATCGGAATTGGGAAAAGGTAAACTTCAGAAGAGCCAACAACAATTAAAGTCAATCCTGGAGGCTATCATATCAGAGATTGGCATGAACGACTGGGCAGCAAATGAACATAAAGTGGTTTCATCAATGCTGGTGTATCTTGCAGGAATACATCCCTCCTTCAAGGATCAAATAAACGAAGCGATATTTGACAAATTTAAGAAAGACTCTCCCCAAGAGGGAACGGAGGAAATATCTAATTTTGTTTTTAATTATTATCTTATCAAATGTAAGCTTCATCTCATCGGCAAAAAAACTCACGATGGACAACTGAAAGGTCTTCTTTTCAATTGTGTTTAGATTCTCTCAATGTGGATCCTTTTTTCCAAAGGCTGGACCAGTATCATAGAGATTTTAGTGAGATGTCAAGAGTGAGACGCTTGGAGCCCGCTCACAGAGGTAAGCATCTCATGTGCTTCATTGAAGTTGAAACAACCATCTTGACTGACATTTTTCAAATTCCTGAAACAAAAACTGATCCAACACATCAGAACTATTCAAACAGCTGCAGATAGATGTCCATGGTATCATATCCAGTAGATCAGCTCTTCCTGAAGAGGAATCTAACTTGGATCATTGTGTAAGAATGTTGAGAGGAACCAAGATAAGCTGGAATCCTAGATCAGATCATCATCCAGAAGATTCAATCTTCCACCTGATGGTATACATTCTAACTCAAGTACGGAAAGATAATGCAACCTTTGGTGCCATCACTGGATACAAACTGATACTGTCATATATTCAAGAAATATTGGAAGCTGAAGAGATCAGAGAAATGATGGAAAATGCAATGACAGTGGACAAAACACTCAGAAACAAGATGTCTGCTGCACAGACTTTGTTGGATCTTAAACACATCCGTCATGAAAGGGGAACTCCATTAGACCTAAACGCATACATTGGCCATGTATTGGCCACAAAACCTGAAACCTGGGATAAAATTGGAGAGACAGGTCAACAACAAGCACGGACTTGGGCCAGAACCTTGGTGCGCATTCTAAAGAGGAAACTTGAAGGATTTCAGGATTCATATGATTCCTTTAGAGTACTGGAAGAGATTGCAAAGTTGAGTAAGCATTTTAGCTGGAGTTTTGTCCAAGAAACAGGAAAAGATGAGGTACTTGCCAAGGAAATTGGAATATATGTGGCTGGAGAGTATAGATCTCTGGACATAAATACATTTCCAATAGGATCAGTCTCATATCTCTTATTGGAAGGTATGTTTACATTTTCCCCTTTAAAATATAAGTACAAGCTATGTGAAAAAGAAATCAACTGACACAAAATTTTCCCAGAACCCATCAGCGGCTCCATCATCACTCAGAATTACCTCATGAACAAAATTGTTGTTGATGAACATACCACACCATCAGCTACAAACATATACAAGCAATTCTCAGAGATGCCCACCAGATGGACAGAAACCTCAAGTTCTGAATGGAGGGGTCTCCTTAATTGTTGTCTGAGCTCTTTGAAAAGCTGTCAAGCTCAAGAGATAGATTTATCTGAGGAAAAAGAATTGCCAATAAACATATCAATTCCATTTTACATACTAAGCTATCTCACAGCTTATTGTGAAGAATTAAGGGTTGATGTAAAAAGAAGCTTGGAATCATGGTCCTTCTACCAATCAGATCTTCAAAGAACCCTACGTATGATATCAGAACATCAGAGCTCTTTGGTATATGGCTCTGATTTCTTTGATAGATTCCCTGGAACATTCAAACCTTCTGAAAAATCCAAATCAATGGCCATTCAGGTATAAACTCCATTTTTATCATGAAAGAATCTTTGAAGTTGAACTGAGAACATACACTTCCTTCTCAAAAGAAAAAAAATATAAAAGTAGGAACCAAGTCTTCAGTTCAAGATTTGATAACTGCACAAGAATATGTTTCTTTTGTGAAGCTTCCCCAAAATATCCTTTCCAAAGGTTACAATATGAAGGATTTCAACTTGAAAAAATATTGGAATTTAGCTAGATGGGGTATTGTACAAAATACCCTTTCTTCAAGCAAAAATAGGGCCTTCAAAGGGATAGTAAATTATATAATGGGCCACAAAGTTGGATGGTTTTATAAGATAAATAATTAAAGTCTTTGGGGTTTCAAGTTTCTCAATAACTTCAAATAATTCATGTCAGACTTTATACTTTCTTTTGTGACTTTTGGCAATTGTTTTCAGTCACTACTCCAAGATATGTGTTATATGTTGCTGTAGAATCCCTTAGACATGTCAACTTGGTATTTAAAATGAATCATGTTTTTTTCTGAAAAGATGACAAATCACACCAATACAATAGTCATTTTTTCTGCAGTAAAATCTTTGCCAAGCTGGCAAGAGATGAACTGCAGTGTGCCATTGTGAATTGTAAAACAAGCTGAAGAATGGATTTGTCAGCCTGTGACTTGAAACAGGTGGCTATAGAAGACTCAGAGTTGAATGATATGTGCTTGTGATAATTCTTTAGGCTTTATTATGTGTAGTTGTGTTACTAAAGTAAATTTGAGCCTGTCAATAACAGGAGCTGGTGACCCCATGTTGTCTTAGGCACTATAAGGTCATACCTGGCACTCGCTGAAAAGTCTGTTCCAATCAGGGTTGCCTGAGGTGGACACTAAAGTACTCCTGTCTCAGGTTTACAATTCAATGTCATGCTCTAGATAGCTGAGATGAAATTAGTTGCATTTTGCGCTGAGCTGATATGGTACATAGTTGCCTCAAGGGCTGGCTTTGACTAACACTAATCAGCATCTCTTTACGCAGGATGGCTAGTGCATTGTAAGTTCCAGGATGGCTACCCTCAAGGTTGAAATCACTTCACTATGCACAGCTATATGACAGGTCCTCAGTAGTGGTGTGGTGTACCACTATTTTGAAGAACCAATACACACCACTATCTGCAGAAACCCACTATGGATCATATGTAGTGGTGTGTGTTAGTCACTAACACTCACTGTGATATTGTATCACTAGCACTATAATAGTGCACATGTTTTTTGAATGTGAAAAAAGAAATTTATCAAAAGGCGTGTAGTGCACTACCTAGAAAATATGTACAAAGAACTATTCATCTTGGTTTATGGATTACTTGAGCCAGTCAGGAAAAAGCAGAGAGATTGAAAATGAACCAAGTTTTGAAGAGAGTTGGGAAGCAATGGGAAAGGAGTGAGATGAGGAAATAATAAGATAAGATAGCCAAGATTTGTATTAAAGAAATCTGTGAACCTGAAGAATAAGATAAGTTGAATGAGGAACAAGTGCATAGGGAGATAACAAACAAAAAAGATGCAGAAATATTGACAATTAAGGATTACTTCATTTTTTGCATATACACATCCAACACAAGGCCTCAGAAAACTCTCAGGAAACATTGAAACCGGCCTTTATCCATTCACAAAATGAATTAAGTTGTTCAATGGTTGCCCTTTACAATGCCATTTGATCAGACCTGCAGACATTGGCTGCTCCAGAAAATATCCTCTCACACAAACAAGTGGTTGCAGAACAGCACAGGAAATACTGAGCCATCTCTGCAAGAGCAGGAAAGGCACCTGAGTTGTCCTACATCACACAAAGTAGTGAGAAATCATAGTATTGGTAAAGAGAATGAAAGGGAAACTTACCTTCCACCATGAACACAGCAAGCCACCAATCAACGGGAACTTCCCAGACATGCAGCCCTCCATCTCATGACTAACACCATTGTCAGGAGAAGGCATTGAAGCAACTACATTGTACTTGTCATCTGTAACAGTGGAATCTTGCTGATTTTATACCTTCAGCATAACAGTATAAGATGAATTGAAAGAAAATCAAGCTGAAAGATAAGAAATTGATTATAAAGAAGGAAACCACTATTTACCGTCCGGAAAAAAAAACCCGAAGCCCCCTCTTTTTGGGGTCTTACCCGAGGGTACCCGAGAGTACCCGAATATTCCCACGCCAAACACGGCCCCGACGGGCTGCTGGCGGGCTGATAGTCAGGGCTGGATGGCTATGTACAGCCCACCTGGGCTTTTCACCACCAGAGCGGGCTTAGGGTGCGGGCTACTTAGCCCTTGAATGATACCACACCTACCCATCGGCAATACCTCACCATCCATTGGAACATTCAACTTCATCGTCACATCACATCCATCACCCGATCAAACGGCCAGGGAAACAAACGTGGATTCACCGGATCTGCATGAAGATGATGTTGCTTACAATGGTAAGCAACCTTTCCTTCATCACACTCTTTCACTTCCTCAACTCATACTTACCCCATCGTATCTTCTTATTGTGTCTTCTTATCATACCTTCTTATCGTTCCTCAGCCGTCCTCAACACTCTATTTCAGCTGGACTTTCCCCTTTCCAACCTGCAACAACAAACCCTCTGCGTTCAGAGTCTATCTGATGAAGCGAAACCGCAAAGGTCAGCCTTTAAACGATGACCGACCGAAACCTCTGCCGAACTCAAGTCTGCCACAACCCACCCAATCTATGCCACAACCCAGCTCAACACTACCGATCACATCAATCACATTACCAAACCAATCTGTTATCCACCACCACGTCTATCTCCCGTCAGCTACCAATTATGTACCTTTGGCTCAACCCCATCTTGTCTGGCACTCAACTCCTGGCTTTCAATACGCACCTTCAAGTCAGTTTGTGTTTTCAAATCCCCCCGGAACAACATGTTTTCCACCTACTGTGTCACAAACACACTCTCAGCATCTAGATTCGTCAAGTAGTCAAGCTCAACCTCAAGCTCAAGCTGTATCAAACTCAACCAATATCCTTTCACTTCCTACACACTTGGCACGTGTTAACGATCCGAACGTTCCATCATCACACAATCTGAACGGTCCATCTTCACACTTGAACCCTACTAGTACCACCAGTGATAGCAATAGTGTTCTTACAAATGAATACCTACCTGAATCAAACCAGGGTAGCATCTTACAAGACTTTGATTCGGCCAATGACGAGCGAGACAATGAATGGCCACCTATTGGTAAGTCCAGTTCAGATTTCATTTCTAATTCAGTGAGTAGTATACTCATTCTATTTGATTACTCATCAACTCGAAACAGGAGTGGCTCCAGTACGATTGATGCAATCACCAAAAATCGGCAAGCAATTCTATGAGAGGGAGTCTGGTATAATGTATTTGAATGAGGTTGCACGGTATCAAGGTTACGTTTTATCGATCAAGAGCCACAAACCCGACCCTCACGGAGTGACTGCACGAATTTATCTAGAGTGTTCCCGCGCAGCAAAACCCAAAAAAAAACCGAAATCAACTGAGCTTAAGGACAATGACGATGATCCCGAGAATGCTGATGATCATAAGGAGAAGCGTGCATCCTCGTCGAAGAAGACAGGATGCACCTTCGAGGTCTCACTCAATTATCACGCCTCCAAAGGACGATGGGTAGTCACCTCGGATGCCATCAAAAACCCTCTGAAAGCTGTTCACAATCATCCTCCTTTCGAACATCTGCACGAAGAAAGTCGATATCAACGAATCAATTCTGAAAACAACCAGACGATACAACTTCTAACTTCAGCTGGTGTTCGACCTCGCAACATTCGGCCACTTCTGAATGTGGACAGCGGCTCCGACGTCCTTGTGCGTGATATCTACAACGCCCGAGCACGTCACAAGAGAACCTGGCTCAATGGACGAACTCCGATTCAAGGTTTGTTGGATTTAGTGACCGAACTGAAATGGGCTTTCCGGACGGTCACCTCGGAGAACGGTACCCTTCAGTCCTTTTTCTTTGCCAGTCCTGAGGCCATTCAACTCGCACGACGTTTTCCTACTGTGTTAGGCATTGACTGCACCTATAAAACTAACAAGTTCAACTTGCCATTACTCCACATTGTCGGTACCACCAACGCCCACAAATCTTTTACTGTAGCTCTTTGTTTCATGCACAGTGAGACCGAAGATGCTTACGAGTGGGCTATGCAACAGCTGAAGTCGATCGTGTTTGACTCCGACACAACACTCAGCCTCCCTCGTACCTTTGCCACCGACGCCGAACCAGCACTATTTAATGCAATCAACACGATCTTCCCAGATTCTGTACACATATTATGCATCTGGCATATCAATGAGAACATAGGCAAGAATTGTAAGAAGCATTTCAACACAAACGATGAATGGGATGAATTTATGAAACTATGGAATCAGTTTGCTTGCTCAACAACTCCTGAAGAATATGATATAAACTTGAAAGCTCTCACCATCATCGCCCAAAAACACAACATCCTCGAATACTTGGAGTGTAATTGGCTTCATCGAACTAACAAGTTCGTATCTCTTTTTACATCAACAACACCCCACTTCGGCAATTCCTCTACATCCCGGGTCGAAGGTGGCCACTTTGGATTGAAAAACTTTCTCGAAGGGCGCCACAACGATTTTTTAACTTGTTTTAATGCATTCAAGCGTCATGGTGAACATCAATACAACGAAATAATGGTATCTTTTGGGATTGAGAAGGGCAAGACACTTCAAGACATACCTGATTTCCTTAAGGACCTTAATGGCGTGATATCGCATTTTGCTATCAAGGAGATAGCTTCCCAGTACGAGAAGATACCTCAAGCTCAACAGCAACCTGACCGACCTTGCACTAATACTTTCCGAACTGCATGGGGAATGCCATGTAGTCACGACCTCGCTGCTCAACGTGAAGTATCCGCAACGCTATCCCCGAACCTAGTTCATGATCAATGGCGACTTGTAATGGACATTGCCCCCAATTCTCAACAAGGCCTTCAAGATGCCGCATGCTCGAAATTCCAAGCTTTATTGACTCTACCAGAACATTCCCTCCGTAAACTTTATGAGGAAGTCGATCTTATAAAAACTGGACGGTACTCATTAGTTCCTATATTACCACCTGAAGTGAAGCACAACAATCGAGGTCGCCCACGCACTGGGAGTCAAAAACAACCAGCTGTCTCTAAGAATGGGCGATGGAAATCAAAATATGAAGTTGAAGAAACCAAACGAAAGAAAAAAGAAAAAGCAAAACGAAGACGACTTGAAGATGCACTCACTCAAGAAGAAGCAAAGCTCGATGAATACTCTGACGATCAAGGGGTATCTGCACATGATTCCAACCCTGAAGCCGTCACAAAAGAGTCAAACACACCCTCTATCTCATCAAATCCGATCGAAGCGCCCTCTAACTTGTTGATTTCATTAGCTACTGCTCAATCATCTAACCCAACTCATTCATCTAACCCAATCACCACCATCAAAGTTTACAAATGTAGTAAATGCCGACAACCTGGACATCGGGCCAACAAATGTCCGGTCAACCATTTGCTTTCTGAGGTAGATTTCATCAAACAGGTCGACGACATTGATGAATCAGATCTATCTCTTATGATGCAGTCCGATCTATCTATATCTGCAAAGGCACCTATCGATTTGAACAATGACGACAACGACAACACACCATTGTCACTTTTTCGTGAAGAAGATGAAAGTGATGCTAGTTTTAGGTCCGACACAGATACCAGCAAAACACTCTGTCTGTTTTGTGATGAAGAAATGCCAGCAAACCCTTCGAATAAGCTTCTTGCTTTGCAGGCCGAACTGCTTGCTATGCCCAAGATAAAGCAGGGCATTAAGAATCCAAGAACAAGGGCCCTTCTGGTAAGTCCAAACCCACTTACACATCATTACACATCTGACATCCTCTTTGGTTTTCTTTTTATCAGTTCCCTCAAACGGCGGATTTTTGCGCGCTTCATGAGGCAGAGCGCGAGGTAATTCCTCATGGGATCAGCGAAGGGTGGCCAACCTCCATCAACTTCCGAATCCTTGCAAGGTGAGACCCGATTTGGAATTTGTCTAGTCTCTCAGCCCACTTGCTGACTTTTGTTTGTGTTGTACAACAGCCGCATAGACTCGCATGTTGATGATCTTTCAAAGATCATCAAACGTGAAGCGAAGTCTTATTATTTGGACCTGGCTAAACGAAAATGGAACAACGGTGATAGAGGTCTACAATATGATGGTTTTGAAATTGAGATTCCAGGGTAGTGAGTGTATATCAAACCAGCTGCTCTGTTCCGATCAAATTAGATAGATGCTGAAGTTCTGTCAAATTCAGTTATGGATACCACGGTTTGCAAATAATTGTAACCAAACTGGAGCATATGTTCCTATTCTTATCTGATCCATCAGATAAGAATATCAAACTCAATGCAAAAAACACAGCCCCTCTCGGTCCCGACTCGTTCATTCGACGTGTTCTTCTGCCGGAGATCACCCTATCTTTGATCGCTGAGGATCTAGGGATACCTCGAAACGATTTGAAAGTCAAAGCTACTCTTGAAGCTAGTCGACAATTTGGCGCTGCAGTGTTCCCACTTGAGTACAAGGACGAGATCAAGGACAACGACGAGAACACATTGATACCGAAGAATAATCACCAGTCGGACTCTCTTCAATTGAATGCTGTCAGCAAAAGCTGCCTTGTGAAACCAGGCGAACAGTTGATATTGAAACAACTACCGGCCATAATAGTACCATATGTCAAATCAATTCACAACCCTCCTCCGTATGGGAATTGTGGGTTTTACGCGATTGCGGCATCCATGAACATGTACACCGAAGATGCTTACCTTGTAATTCGCCGAAAAATGAAAGACGAGCTCTCTTCCCATCAGGAAGATCACACAAAATTGATATCGACGCCTTCTCAGCGGCCCTGAACGAGAAAACAACAATCTGACGCAGAGGAGGTGGTACAAGATCTCATGGGTCGGCTTGACCACGAGGCAATATCTTGCACTCGAGAGTACTGGTTGAGGATGCCTTCATTGGGCTTTGTGATAGCAAGCACGTTCAACCACCCCGTGCTTCTTTTCAATCCTGAAAGGAGCAATTGTTATTCATTCTTCCCTTATCGAACACCGCCTAACAAAGAAGCCCCGATAGTACTTGCGTTTGTCGATGGTATTCACTTCGTCAGTCTAGGTGTGGGTCATCTTTTAGTACCTTTTCCTGAAGTTTATGGACAGGTCCGAAATGCGGCAATGCTTGAGACCACTCTGGTTCCTCAATGGTCAAAGGAATACAACGCTGAGTTGGAAAGATGGACTTCTGACCATTGATTCTCATGATGTTTCATTTCTTGTTTTTTTTGATTGATTCTCATGATGTTTCATTTCTTGTTTTTTTTGGCTTTTTTCCCACTTTTTTATTCTTTCTTGATCAGTGTTGCTTGTTGCTTGTTACTTGTTGTCAGAAATGTCTCAAGATTTGCTTGTAATCGATATTGATCGATCCTATATCGATACTTTGTATTTGGTCCTCTATCGATACTTCATTTTTTCAATACAATCACGTTTCATTCAATACATACACTTGAGAAACACACAAAAAAAATAGGAAGCTTGACTTGAAAGCTTCACCAACCAAACAACACCAAGTAAATCTTCAACAGGTCACATTGGAGATGCAGCCCGCCTCAATTTTAAAGCGGGCTGAGGAAAGTCACAGCCCGCGAAATACCCGCAAAGGGGGCTTCGGGTTTTTTTTTCCGGGCGGTAAATAGTGGTTTCCATAAAGAAACTGGATAAAGGCTCAAATTGAGAAGTACATTTGTTGGGGGGAGATGGAGTGGTATGTAAAGTATGATTATTGGGAGGATGCTGTTTAAATCAAAGTTTTTGATAATGAATCTAGATTTATAAGTCACAAGCAATGGTCCAAGGGGATTAAGGCAGGTTATTTCATACTTTTCATTTGAAACTCACTTTTGATCATGATTTTGATGGGGTGCACTGGTATGGTAGACGCGGTGGGGGAAAGCGGATTATAGAAGGTCACAAGGTGGATGAGTGGGGCAAAGTATGACAGAGGTGAACTCAAGTATGTGTATACCTTTCATGCTAAAGGAAAGATGAACAAGGGTCTTAACAAAGCACAGGACTTCTAATTGTTTGGGGGCAGAGCCTGATGAAATTTCAATAAATTATCTATCAGTGCACACTGCAGTACACTATGTGGACCACTATATGTGTGGACACACTGCCAAAACTGGTGAGTGTAGTGGACATACCACTATAGAAATTTTGGACTTTTGTATAGGGCTGTGCATCAACCACTATCACAAAAACTAATTTTTGAAAGGGTAGTGCCACAGCACTTTCACAACACTACCACTATCCATTGTGTAGTGATTTTGACCTTGCTACCCTTTTATGTGCCGGGATGGGGTTGGTCTTTGTGACATCAGATGTGGTAGTTTTTTTGTAACAGACAACACTCCGCGAGTCTGGTCTCTCTGCTCCAGTCCTTTCCGCTGCTCCTGGTCCCCTAACCCCAGGACGAAACGGACCCAAGATAGGTGAAAAAAATAAAGCGCACAAATAAGATATCCAAAGATTGAGAGTGAGTCTTTGGTACCATAGATTATCGAGGAAGTCCAGCTGAGTTCTTCCTTCAATGCTTTCGTTATTCGAGTGTTGAAATTGTTACCCTGGTGTTTGAAGCCTTCCGCAGCGTTTTCTTTTGTAAGGAATGTCCATATTCCTGTGTACTTCTCCTATGTAATGTCAGTTTGGTATTGAGAGCATATCATGCAGTCTAAGGAGGTCTGAGGCATCTTGATGAGGGGTCTGGGAGGGTCTGGGCGTCTGGCGAGGTCTAGAGTCGGGTCACAAGACAGACCTCGGGTTCTCGATGCAGAAATAGCGCGTGAAATACAGTTTCAATTTGACTGTCAGTTTTTGTTCTCCCAATGGACGGGCGCTAAGCGAATTGAAAAAAAGCCACTTTCCCATTATTATCATTCGGTACAATCGTCTCTTTGATATAGAACCACATTCCAACACCAACCAGAGGGAGTTCATCCTTCATTTTGATCTCATGGCTTCAACAAAAATTGGAAGACCGATTATGTCTTCCTTCATAAAATCACGCGCGCTCGATACAGCTGCCAAACTGCACTTTGCAACATGCCAATTCTTTAAACGATCGCATGAGGACAACCACCAAGCGCCTGCTTGGATGTCAAAGAATGGTCGTTCTCCATATTCGAAATCTGCGGCTAGCCAACCGATCGACTCAATTGGATCAGCTAATATTGATGTTTGTCTGAATATCCCTATTGAAAGAGAAGATCTAGCAAACAATCATTGACAAGATTTTATCGATGGAAACAGGCTTCCAAACTTCGAATTGAGAACTCTAACGCACCAAAGACGAAATCGCCTCCATCTGAATTGAACTTTGGACAAACTTTTACAGATCACATGTTGGTCTTGAATTGGTCACAAGACGCTGGTTGGAGTGACCCATTGATTCAACCGTATCAACCATTGGTTCTCGATCCTTCAGCTACCGTATTTCACTACGCACCAAGTTTATTTGAAGGTATGAAGGCTTACAAGGGCGCCGATGGACAAATTCGACTTTTTCGACCTGACAAAAATATGGCACGCATGAATACTAGTGCTGAACGTCTTGCCTTTCCTGTAAGTGATGCCTCCGAAAAAAATGGTAATACACATGAACGTTGAGACAGATATATTTATTTGCCGAAGCATCAATCTTCATCATTGCTGATGTAAACCCTTATTTTTGGTGAAGGCATTTGACGGCGCAGAATTAATTAAACTCATCAAATCTCTTGTGAAACTTGATTCTGATTGGATACCCACTGAACCCGGATATTCACTTTACATCCGTCCCACAATGATCGGAACCCAGGTAGGACTTGGGGTAGGACCATCAACAAACGTAATGCTGTACGTGATTTGCTCGCCTGTTGGACCTTACTACAAGACTGGTTTCAAACCTGTCAGCCTATTAGCTTCAACGAAATACGTTCGAGCTTGGCCTGGTGGAACGGGTGCCTATAAGCTTGGTGCCAATTATGCAACTGGTGTGGTACCTCAAGTTCAAGCCGCATCTGATGGTTATCAACAAATTTTATGGCTTTTTGGAGACGATCATGAACTTACGGAAGTTGGAACGATGAATCTGTTCCTTGCAATCGAGCAGGATGATGGTAGTTAGTCAATCGCACTTAATATCCTTAACGAAAATTGATGTATCAATGGCAATCTAATGCTTGTGTATCCATTAAACTTTTTCAGAGCTTGAGGTGATTACTCCACCTTTGGACGACAAAATCTTACCAGGAATCACGCGAGATTCGGTTCTATCCCTTTTACGAGGTCATGCGGATGGCACAGCATCACTTGATGGTCTCTCTAAAGATTTGGTGATCTCAGAGCGTAAAATTTGTATGTCTGAAGTCATTGAAGCTTCACGTAAATCCAAACTTCGAGAAGTCTTCGGTGCAGGCACAGCAGCTATTGTTTGTTCGGTCGACCGGATCGGGTAAGTTTCATGTATATTCTTAATTGCATTTTTTGCCTAGCTTATGTTTTTATGAGGCAACAGATATGAAGGAAAAGACATCTCGATTCCTGTTGGATCACAAGGCTTGGGTGACATCGCAGCTATTGTACAAAGAGAAATTCTTGGACGTCAAACGGGTGTGATTCCAAGTGAATGGAGTGTAGTCGCCTAATTCGGGTATTTCTTGTTTCACCCCTTCGCAAAAAAACCTGTCCAAGAGTTATTTTGAATATCTATGACTCAAAAATCATGTTGGTCCTTGGTGTCCTTATCAAGTATTTCAAAATTGACAATTACTTCTCACAAGGACGGCTTAATTTATCTTGTGTACCAACATCATACAACCGCTTTACTTGACACATACTTTCTTTCTGTTTTGCATAAGCTGAGAGAGAAGGAAATGTGCTTGAGATCTTTTGTGTTCATGTATTTGAGGTTTACTCGCGGGCTGTGCCCACACTTTCGATCTCTTGATGCTCTTGGTAAATTTGCCTGGAATTCTGGTGCCTGCATCAGGAGAACATCAATTCTCTTAAATGTCGGTAAAATAGGTGATTTCATCCTCATAACCGCCCGCCACATCCATTCCGAACGTATCCTCACTTTTTAGGTCTCGGTGTATAAAAATTGAAAGCTCATTTTACCCCGATAATTGATTCTTGTCAATAATCAGTGCAAGCAGGAAGCTCACTGGTGTTCTTGCAATTAGATGGTAAAAGATCAAACCTAGCCGTCTGATTGCAATCGAGAAAGGATTGGATCCCTGAATGAATCACAAAAAGAAAACTTTGACAAGGATGCCTATGTACATACAATCAACAAAGATATGCGTATTGGGAGATAACGCCTCTGATTTGTGTTGGCAAAACAAATGATCAAGTCCTGGAAAGTCACATCTAAAGCTCGATGTCAAGTTTAGCTGTAGTAAGCTTCAGATAGCACATCTTGAGCTCCTCAATTGTCTGTCAAATCAAATATAAAAAAATATGGAAAGTTTCAGTATTATGAAACAAAACTGATTGAATTGAATCACCAAAACCACGTACTGGAGCTCCAAAGGTAAAAGGAAAAGCTCGAAGTTTATTATATAATAGTGATGATTCTGGAAAGAAAGTTGAGATTTGCTTCCTACTAGCACCAACGAAGATAAGTTCGGATCTTTCTAATTCTTTTTCCCAAGACGCCAAGAGTTCGGAGCCAGCCTATGAAACGAAAAACAGAGAATTAGAGGAAATGAAAAGTCAGAATCTAGAATTGAAGCAAGTACCTTGTTCATGGTGTCTCTATCGACTCCTCTTTGACTTTTACGAGATAATTTCTCGACAGCTTTTTCCTTTTTGCTCTTTGAATAACTCTTCGAACGACCCTTCTTGCCTTCGACAACTGGGGCAGCTGGATTGGCAGTATTTTTGGAAAGATGGTTCATGAATAAAAGTCAGCCTTTACTAAAAGAAGTCTACACGAGATTGGTAACTGACGTTCGATCACTTCATTTTTGAGGATGACCAATCTGTCTTTGATAGTTTCATTTTCGTCGCCTTTCAATAAATCAGTTTGAAGATGTAAAGCAGCGATTTTTTCTTTTCCAATGATTATCAAACTCCAACGTCTATGACCAAAGATTGCATCATCATATTGTAATCTTTTTAACTCAGTAAGAGGTTTTTCAGATATCAAACCACTCTCACGACCAAAAGACTCAGGTAAAACACAACGAAAAAAGTCGAATCTGTAGGCTTGATCAAACAATTTAATCCTGTTGATCCATCCAGGGTTATCAGTCCAAATTTCCTCTGATTCTTCTATCCTAGCTTGAGGAGCTAGAGAAGTTCCATAAGGGAACGTGATCAGATTCTTTGTGAAAAGAGCTGTACGTAGAGGTTTTGGGAGATCAAAGATATAAAGCTCTCCCCATGCTTGAATTTCTTGCAAGTGGCTTGAAGTGTTTGAAGTATGTTCGTCGGATTTGGGAGAGATGATTTGTGCTGATGCCATTGGTCAAAGATGTTAAATTATCAAGTGTAAGATTAAGATTGCTGTATAAAGACGATGAAAGTGCTTATGATGACTATAAGTGAAATATTATGATTGCTGTAGAAGAGATTTTAAAACTGCTTTATTATCGACTGTTTGAAATTGGATAATGGGATGGTGGAAATGGATTAAGTCTCATTGATTGCATGGTTTATATACACCAAGCCTTGTCCGTTTTTCTGCAAAATCGTCAAACAGCTATTGTAGAGGAGCGTTATTCTTGGAGACTCGAAGAGATGAACAAAAACGCAAAAAACTGCATACCCGTTAGCAAGTCAACGGGAAAGTTGGACTTCTTGGTTAAACTTTTTACTTCTTGGTATGTTGGACTCCGTTCGAATGTGGCTCGGTTCCAATCTGTCAAAAGTCGGTTGACAAATTCTTGAGCGTCGAATCTTGTTCGTTCAGCATTCATTTCAACTTCAAGCTCACTTGATCTCATCCTCAGCCTTCAGGCCAGCGACTTTTCACTTCCCTTTGAGTAATTGTTTGGAGGAATAGCTCATGAAGTGAAGTAAATATTTTTGAGCGCCCATGTTTGACAGAGTATCTTAGTGGATTGAAACGAACCGACCGCTTGTGGCCGGTAGACCAAGCTATTTGATCAACAACATACATTCAAAATGGGAAACATCGTCTAACCAGTAACCTCTCAGGTTTGATCTTGGGTGGAGTCTGAAGACCTTTGATTCTATACGTGGAAATTGCCGCTACACCATTTGTACACACAACTTCGTTTCCTGTTCAAGACTCACTCACACCTGATTCCATAAATCTTGTGATGATCACTCAAGTATGGTGATGATCTGAACTGCCAATTCACATCGCCGTATGATCGCCAGTGTGGCATCTTGGTTGATGCAAGAGAGCAGAGAAACTGGTGGGTTTTTTGTGAAGAGCACCCCTGAAGTACTCAAAAGGAACAGAAAGACCCATCAGAAGCAAGTGTCTCGCAAGAAGTTAAGAACTGCTTCTGGAAATGATAGAGCTGATGCGAGATAAAAATATGATACAAAACGAACATTGCCAATTGAAAGACTTAGATTGGCAAGGAAATCCACTTCTTACCATCGAATTTCTGTTACTGTACCCAGTTCCGACGCAACCACGTGATCACTGATCTCAAGCAAATGATTAAAGAAAATCTAACTGTCTGATTTCAATAAAGGGACGACTGATATATTTAGCAAAAAAAAGCTTGAAAAAAATGGCTATGTACAATCAATGAAAATGAAATGCGTATTGACATCCTCTATTTTTCCTGTGTTAATAAGTCAAGGTGAAGCTTAGCTGTAGTGAGCTTCACGTAGCAACGCTTGAGCTCCTCAATGTTCTGTCAAGTTCAATAGAAAACACAAAAATATCTTGCATCAGAATAGCAAATCCAACTAAATTGAATTTTAAAGAAGATTACTCACCGGAGATCCAAAGTCAAAAGGAAAAGATCGAAGTTTGTTATATAATGATGATGATTCTGGAAAGAAAGTTGAGATTTCCTTCTTACTAGCACCAACAAAGATAAGTTCCGATTTTTCTAATTCAGTTTCCCAAGACACCAAGAGCTCGGAGCCAGCCTATGAGACAAACAGAGAATTAGACACCGGGGGTATTAGAGGGAATGAAGAGTCAGAATCCAGAATTGAAGCAAGTACCTGTTTCATGAGGTCTTTATTCATGGGGTCTCTATCAACTCCTGTTGAACTTTTACGAGTCAATTTTTCGACGACTCTTTCCTTTTTGGTCTTTGAATGAACTTTTTTCCTTTCAACCGCCAGGACAGCTAGATCAATAGTGATGTTAAGAGTATGATTGGTAGATGAAAGTCAGTTTGAATCAAAAGGATAAAAGAATTCTATAAGAGTACTGAAAACTAACGTTTCACTTCATCTTTGAGGATCACCAATCTGTCTTTGATAGTTTCATTTTCGTCGCGTTTCAATAAATCAGTTTGAAGATGTATAGCAGCAATTTTTGCTCTTCCAAAGATTATCAAAGTCCAACGTCTATGACCTAAAATTTTATCATCATATTGTAATCTTCTTAATTCGGAAAGAGGTTTATCAAATATCAAACCACTCTCACGACCAAAAGACTGAGGTAGAACACAACGAAAGAATTCGAATCTGTAGGCTTTACTATACAATTTAATCCTTTTGATCCACTCGGGGTTACCAGGCCATATTTCTTCTGAAGTTTCTACACTAGTTTGGGGAGCAAGGGAATAAGGTAATATCAGGTCATTCGCGAATAGAGCTCCGCGTAGAGGTTTTGGGAGATCAAATATGTAAAGCTCTCCCCATGCCTGAATCTCTTGGGATTGGCTTAAAGTATTTTTGTCGGATCTGGGGGAGGTGATTTGTGTTGATGCCATTGAAAAAAGATGATTTCTTTTTAAAGTTGAACTGAGATTGCTATATGATGATTTTGAGTGTAAAGTTATGAATGTTACACTGCAAATATAATGTGTTTCTCCGAAGTGAAAAATGATTGCACTTAATGCACAAAATGATTAATAATGCAGATTTAATGCAGAAAAATGCAGATTTAATGTAGATTTAATGCACTTTTAATCATTTTTTGAATTAAATGTAATCATTTTTCACCGCGGAGAAACACATTATATTTGCAGTGTTATGAACGAAGAATTGAATGAGGCTTGTATTGATTGTTTGGAATTATGATGGAATGGTTTTTTTTTTTTTTATTTCATTGCTTTAAGTGTCATTAGAGCCTTTCGGCTATTAGACACTGCATGTTTTTCCAGCACCGGTAAAACCCCTCTGGCTGTGTCAGGGGAAAGGTTGCTGTTGGCTGTTTCAACTAAGGTACATGTTATTAAAGTGAGTAGAGACTATTTGGCGCTAAAGGATGGGGGAGGAAAGAATTTATTCTCTCGGTGGATGCCTGTCTGTTGGCAGCTCCTCATTTTCAATGACAGCCCAGTTCCAGCAACTTTTCAGTCGCCAGGAGCTATCACCAAATTGAGAGATCGCTTTGAAAGCTCTTGGTTTGTTGAGTATTGAGGTGTTTGATGGGAGGTCGAGTTGTTTGAGGTTCTCTTCGAATTGTTTGCGTTCTTCCTTGAACTTGTTGCACATGAATAAGTAATGCTCAACTGTTTCGACGCCTTCTTGGCAGTCGCAGCTTGGGTTTCCCATCTGCCCAAAGTTGCAGAGGTATTGGTTTAGTTGAACGTGTCCTGATCGTAATTGTGTGATGAATCCTACTGAGTGTTTTTTAAGTTCGGATAGGTGTTTGAGATGTAATTTTTGTTGTGGTTTGTGGCCTAAGCGTTTCAAATCTTGCTGGTCGGTGATTTCTGAATTTTTTGCGCGCCATTCTTTGATTGCCGTTAGAAAACTTGCAGCGTTTGGTTTAGCACGGAATGTGCTAGGTAACTTGGTTCGAGCTTTCTTGTTTGCTATCTCGTCGACAATCTCGTTTCCGTGTACCCCTGCATGACCTGGGCACCATCGAATTGTGACTCGCATTTCTGGAAAGGTTGTATGTAAATAATTCATCAGTTTATAAGTTTCCTTTCTGTCATCTAACGTAGTGATAGGAAGCTTGTTTGATCTAAGGTCTTTGATGACACTTTGATTATCGAGTAATATAGTTGTCCTTCTTGTATGTATCGAGACCGTTTGTAGGGCCATGGCGAGTCCTAGTTGTACACCTCGATATTCTGCCTGATAAATACCGTGCATGCGGGCCGTTCCAAGGTGTTCCGCTGTCGATTTCTTGGTGTTCTTGCACCAAGCCGCTGCTGCAGTGGTGCTTGATGGAATTCTCGAGCCGTCCGTGAAAATGACTACATGCTCTAAGGTCGCTGTGAGATTATTGGCGTTAGTTTTCGCCATACTTTCATTTTCTTGTATCACTGTTGAGTAATTTGATGGGCGTATTAAAATGTCGGAGGGATCAAGCGGAATTTGTTGTATAACATCGTCTAGTTCTTTGCTGACTTCGTGTTGGAAGAATCTGTGAAAAGGGTTGTGATGGCATCGTGGATTTGAATTCTGAGCCTGTTTCACAAAGTGGTAGATAGGGGAGTACAATGGTTTTGTCAGCGATGTTGCCATGAAATTCATAATCTTGGCCTGAATTCGTATTTTAGGAGGGATCAGGTTTGCGTCATGTCGGAGGAATATGGTTGGTGTGGTCGACAGTGCCCCCAGTGCTGCTCAAGCACAGGTTTTGTCGATGATGCTGAGTTTGTTTGTGAAGTACTGCGGTGGTTCAAAGGGGAGCCACGCTGCTACGCCATAGTCAAGGGCAGTGTGGATTGTTGTCGTAATGAGTGTGTTCATGAGTCGTGGCGAGATTCCCCACTCTGATTTGGACAGGGTGGTCAAGAAGCCTGCGCGTTGCCCGCCTTTCGCTATAATTTCGTTTCTGTGTTGAGAGAATGTGAGCTTGTCATCAATGGTAATGCCTAGCCACCTTGCTTTTTTCTCTGGTAAGATGCTCTTCCTGTCAACAAAACTGATAGTCGGTGGGACGTCAGCATCATTTTGTTGGTCTTTTGGGCTAAAGATTACCCAAAAAGTTTTCTTGATATCAAATATCGCGCCGTGATCTTTGGCCCAATTGTTTTGGCGGAATGCTAGAGTCTGCGTCTGAGATCGTAGTCGGTGTTTGTCTGAGGCAGTTGTGAGAAGAACCACGTCATCGATGAACCCTAAAGCTGTAGCATTCTCAATGGTGTCAGTGATTTCCAGTAATGCATTATTGTATAATGGATAGAGTAGCGGTGATAAAGGTGATCCTTGCGGTAAACCATGCGTCAGCTCGAAAGGCTTGGACTCGAAGCCATTGAACGAGAGTGTTGTTTGGCGTTTTTCTAGGAAGTTGTGGAGAAGGTTTAGTGTTTGGCTATGAAATCCCTTTTTCTCGAGGATAGATAGTAGTCTTGGGTGGTGGACGGATGGGAACGCTGATTTCACGTCAGCAAACAGGGCTCCGACTATATTACCCTTGGTCCATTCTTTCCGAATCCAGGATACCAGGTGTGTCAAAGCCTTGTGTCCTGATTTATTGGGTCGGCCGCCATAATGTCCTTCATGTAGTTGCCTTTTCTGTTCCACATGAGCAGACAAGTGTTTGGTGAGGAGTTTTTCGAATATCTTACTCAGAGTAATCAGCAAGGCTATCGGCCTATATGCCGAAGCTGCCGTATAGTCTGGTTTCCCTGGCTTCGGAATCATGATGGTTTGTGCCTGTTTCCAATCTTGTGGGATGAGGCCTGTTTCCGATATCTGTAGAAATAGAGTTCTGATGTGAGTTTTAACTTGTTGCCAAGTTTTTTGCCACACCCAGTTTTGGATCATATCCGATCCTGGAGCTTTTAGTGGTGGGATACTTGTGACCACTGCTTTGATTGTAAGACCTACGGTCATTACAAGACACGTAACGATATTACTTAAATATTAAATACTTAAATCTTAAATTTCATTTTCTATATATAGTTCTTTTCATTTCGATCTTGCCGATTGGTTCCTTAGAGATATCGGGACTGATTATAATCCCTCTATCCTTCGGAACCAGGTATAGTCATTACTTTCTTATTTCTTTCTTTTCTTTTATTATTACTATTGTTATCCTTAGAGATATCGGGACTGATTATAATCCCTCTATCCTTCGGAACCAGACGTGTTCTCGATTGGATTTGAAATCAAAATCAGGTCTCTTGGGTTCTAGAAACCCTTCACTGTGCCTCACAGTGTCCCGCTCGACGTGTCTAGTGAAGGTTCCTCCCGAACCTTACATTGATGTTCTCTTCCGTTAAGTACGTGAAAAAATCAGGCATTGAAGGGTCTGTTGGTCGAGTTTCTGTGTTGATTGGGAATTGAAGAATTTCAGTTTCGTCTATTCTACATGGTGCTGTGGCAACACATGTAGTTTGAAAAAGAAGCTCAGCTTTTTCTTCGTTTGTTGAGCATATTGTTCCTGCGTTTGATATGAGCGTATTGACTAGAGAAGATGGTTTTCGACCTGAGGCAAATTTCTTCGCTTGAAATAATGTTTCGTGAGTAAGTGTTGAGAGATAAGTTTTCCAACTGTCTTCCTTCAGCTTGTCAACATTCTTATTGAATTTATTTCTTGCTTTTCTGTAGTTTGACTTGTTTTCATCAGATTTATCTGCTTTGAATATTCGGTGAAGCCTTCGGGCGTCTTTCCTGAGCGGGTCCAGGATCTCAGGGCGCCACCATTGTTTATGTTTTCCTGGTGGGGCCCTGTTTGGCGAGTTGTTGTTCAGAGCGTCGGTGATAGAGCATCGTAGTCGTCTGTCAAAGTTGTCGATTTCTTCCTGTGTTGTTAGCCTTGTGATTGGGGGTAGAGAACTCCTCAATTCGGCTAGTAGGGCTTGGGAGTCTACCTTGTTCCAGTTCTTACCTCTCCGTGAGCTCTGGTTGTCGGAGGAAGTATCGTGTTTTTTTGTTGAGAAGACGGTAATCAGTGATTGGTGGTCGGAGAAGTGATTTGTATTGTCATCCGTATCAATGAGGCATGCAGTGATTACATCATCAAGTTGTTTGTTGACCCATACTAGGTCAATGGTTGTCCCTCGTGTGGTTGTGGAACTCAGACCATATGTTGGTTCGCCAATAGGAGATCTGAGTTTGAGGTCCCATCTCGACATAAGGTCAATCAGGTTATCGGCTGTTTTGTCGTAGGTGTCACTGTAAATGGGATTCCACACAGGTGAGTGGAGGTTTGCATCTGTTACCACAATAGATGGTAACAGTTGGAGTGTGGATGGAAGGCTGTTCATTAGCGTGTCCCACGCTTCAAAGCCTGAAAAGCTTTTTGGCGCGTTGTATACATTAGAGATAAGTATAGTGAAATTATTAATAGTTACCGTACACGCAGCTATGTCGCGTGAGACTGAGGTTATGGGGTTGAGGGCAGCGTGAAGATCTTTTCTAACATATATACATGCTCGTGGTCTTGATTCCTCATTTCGAGCCACTGGTGTTGGGCTGATGAGAATCCAATTAGCTTGATTTGGGGGGAGGTAATCAACTCTGTTGATATGCGGTTCTTGGAGAGCAATCATGGAAAAATCATTAGTTAGGCTGTGGTTGAAAAGTGAGTGCATTACATGGGGTGAGCGATGGCAGTTGAGTTGCAGAATCGCCACTGTTTCTTGTGATGTGATTATTTCGCGAAGATGTTGTTCTATCATTTAGATAAATTCATGTCTTCGCTATCTATGATGACAATCTTTGGCGAGCTGCTCGGATTATATGGTCCGGCGCTCGCTGCGATCCTTGTCGGACAGGCTGGGCTGAAGGGGTGATGTATGACGTCTTTTGGATTTGATGCAAAGAAGGCTTTAAGACTGGTTAAAGGCTCCAATGATACCTTCTTCCTGGCACATGCTGTGCACTTCATGTCGGTCTTCCCCTTTTCTGGACAACTGTGTGAATGGTGCTTATCCCCACAGAATGGGCAGATAGGATCCATCGGGCAAGAAGGCGCGGTGTGGCCCACCTTTTGGCAGTTATAGCACCTGCGTGGGGGAGGTCCGCTCCGGAAGGTAAGATGCTTGCCTCGACCGTGCCATATTTTGTTGGATACACATTTTTGTGCTTCTTCTTCAGTTTTCAGACCTATCAATAAGGACGAGTGTCTCTTGTTTGAATCTTCTAGGACTTTTGGGTTTAGCCATCTGACAAAAAGCATGTTTTTGAGGAGATCTCCGTTGCATACTTGGAGCTCCTCAACATGGTCTTGGACATTTGGGTCAAATGTTGTCGAGATGCCATTGACAATAATTTCATGGCGTGCTTCTTTCATTTTCATTGTCTTTGAAACGCTATGAATCCACGTTTTAGGCATTTCTTTTACCTTCGTGGCGAGAGCTGCAGTTTCAAAATATAAGTCTATATCATTTGAAGGGTGGTGTCTGACACTCTTTATTTCAATGGCTGCCTCTTCGTCTGGTTTGAGCTTGATTTCATACGCTCTGAATACCCTGTTGAGCTCATGAATTAGCTTCGCATTTGACAGGCCGGGATATGCGATCTCCGATCCTGGTTCATGTACTAGCGTGACGACATTGGTTGGTCGCGCTTTTGGTGTTAGTTTAGGCGGTTGGGCTTTTGGTTTATTGGCCTGTTGGCCCACTGTTGTGTTAGTGGTGGCGTGTTTGGACGCCGCTAGTGCGTAAGAAGGGACTGTTAGTCCCTTCTTTTGTTGTTGTTTTGGCTGTAGGTTTTCTACCACTGAGGTTAGATATGACATCTGTTCGGTGAGTGCTGATAACGTATCATCGGTAGCCCTACCCTTGAATATGATGGGTCGACTCTTGGTATTTGATCCCGCAAGAGCTTCTGGGGTCGTGAATTTGCGGCGAGCGTCTTCGAGCATAACTTGGTCGTAGACAGCTCCCGTTAGAACCAGAATGTCGGCCGCAGTTCCAACATCGATTGATGTTTTCTGGGCTTGTTTTGACTTGTTCGCAAGCGGCAAGCCGGCTTTAACGACCTCCAAGAGCTTACTAACCATCTCCTTGAGAGTTCGGTTTTCAGTTCCTCCTGGGAAGAGATTCTGCATGTGGTTTGTCCTAGGACTCCCCGTTAACTCAGACGCTTGGTCTGCTGCGATCGTGCCAGGTGTGTCCGTTCTGGACCTTTTCTTTGCAAAGTTTCCTAAGTCCGAAGATTGAATCGAGGGAGACTGAGAGGCTCCTTGACCAAAGCTAGCGTTGTCGAACTTGAGAGGGGGAATGGTTTTGGGAGGTGGGATGGTTGCAGTCCATTTAGACTGTTCTTGGGGTCCGATTGGGTTGATAAACGCGTTGGACGCGTCGCGAGTTGCAGGAATGTTCTTTGGAACATTCTGTTTCTCCTGACCCGTATCCGGCGCGTCGTCGAGCTCCATGTCGACCGTTATCGCGTGGAAGAGGTGATTCGAAAGTGCGAAAAAAGTTAGGATAATCGATTTTTGAAATTTGGACGAATGCTTGCGCAGTCACGGACCGGGTCACGTGACAAGTTGCGAATTCGTGGTAAAAGACAGAAATCTCTCAATGCAGATTTAATGCAGAAAAATGCAGATTTAATGTAGATTTAATGCACTTTTAATCATTTTTTGAATTAAATGTAATCATTTTTCACCGCGGAGAAACACATTATATTTGCAGTGTTATGAACGAAGAATTGAATGAGGCTTGTATTGATTGTTTGGAATTATGATGGAATGGTGGGAATGGATGAGTCTGTTACGCGGTTTATATACCCGAAGCCTTGTGTTTTTTGCAAGATCATCAATCAGCTATCGTACAAGAGCGCCATTCTTGGAGAATTGAAGAAATGAACAAAAGTGCAAAAAATGGATACATCTGGCCGTTAGAAAGCCAAAGGGAAAGTTAGACTTCTTGGTATGCTGCACTCCGTTAGAATTCTGCTCAGTTCCAATCTATCGAGATTTGCTTGAAAACTTCTTGATTTTCAAAAAAAAATTGTTCAGCATTTGTTGTAGGCTCACTCCGTCCCATCCAAACATCAATGGCTTTTCAAACCCTTTCAGTATTTGTCTGGTAGAATGGCACAGTCAACAAAGCGATCATTCTTGAGTGCCTATGTTGAACAACTGCGATCTTGTTGAAGTGAAAGGAAAAAAACACTGACCGAGCTATCTGGACAACATGCAAAATGAAGGACTTTGTTTAGAAAACAAACTCTCAAGTTTTATCCGCTTAGAGTGAGGAGAAAGGTCATTTATGTTAAAAA